TTTTTGTTGCAATGGTGAATGGTATTGTTTCCTTAATTTCTCTTTCTGTTTTCTCATTGTTAGTGTATAGGAATGCAAGAGATTTCTGTGTGTTAATTTTATATCCTGCAACTTTACTGTATTCGTTGATTAGCTCTAGTAATTTTCTGGTAGAGTCTTTAGGGTTTTCTATGTAGAGGATCATGTTATCTGCAAACGAGAGAGTTTCACTTCTTCTTTTCCTATCTGGATTCCTTTTACTTCTTTTTCTGCCCTGATTGCTGTGGCCAACACTACCAAAACTATGTTGAATAGTAGTGGTGGAGTGGGCATCCTTGTCTTGTTCCTGATTTCAGGGGAAATGCTTTCAATTTTTCACCATTGAGGGTGATGCTTGCTGTGGGTTTTTCATATAATAAGTAACTTAAATTAATTTAAATAATCATAGCTCGTTCCTTTTTCCTTAGTGGTTATATAGCTGAGTGGCTGTTCTGGCAAAATGCTTGGCTTACTAAAGTCAGCAGTTATGGCTGTGGCTTCCCGTCTTCAGTGAGTTTGACTGGAGAAGCCGCTCGGCACGTGGACGTCTGACGGCATCTGTCTATGCCTCTTCCTGCAGGTGGTGACACTCGGGTCCAGCCCACGCGGCGGCTCTATACCGTGGGCCTGCCTCCCGAGGGGTGGGTCCCCCCTCCACCGGAGCCCCCGAGTTGCTCAAGTTCAGAGAGCTCTTCCAGCAGCGAGGACACAGGAGGTAAGATGGCCAACAGCCCTCAGGGACTTCCAGGGTCGTAACTTCACATGAACTTTAATGGGGGTGCGTGTCACATGGCCATGTGGTCTGCAATCATTAGAGACACTTGTGAAGATGCATAACAGCACCAGTTCAGGTTGGGAGGGGACTCAGGTTGGGGTGTGATCTCAGCCCCATTGTTAACACATTACACATCAGGAGAAGTCTGGCATTAATATGTCCAAACTTGAAAGTGCTTCTCTTGTTAAGTGAACTTTTTTCTTTACTTTCCAATTTTTTTCAAAATTTCCAAGATTGTTATCAGTTTTGTAATCATGGAAGTAACTTAGGTTGCATGTCTGGTAGAAAACTGAACACTGCTGTCAGATGTTTTATGAGTGAAGGAGGTGCACTGGGGGTGGTGCGGAGGCTGCATGTCACATTCATGCCTTAAAAATTCCCCCCTTAATTTATCATTTTAAAACTTCCTTAAGAGGAATTTGCAATTTTCAGAAAAATTTTCCCCAGATGGTTTTTAACAAGTAATAAACTAAGAAACTCTATACCATACGCCTTAATTAGTTTGTATATTAAGAAAATATGATTTTCCACTAGATTGATCTTTCTGACTTCCTAAGAATCAGAAACCATAAAATCAAAAATGAGATAGTTAGGGATTGATATATTTATCTTTTTAAGCCCTGTTGAAAATCTTTGGAATATAATTATTGGAAAAATAGATTGTTTCATTAGAAAATTAACCTATGTCCTTATAAAGATAAATCGCTTTTGGTGACATACTTGCTGTGTACCTCGGGTGTTTAATAACAAAGTGCGGACTCACCCTGGAGCTGCTGCCGCAGCGAGTTCCACTCCCAAGCCTCCCAGGCGGGCTTGTGCACGGCGCCCCAGCTGAGAGCCTTCCGGGTGCACTGCTAAGCTAGAGGGGTGTCCTTCCAGGAGACCAAAAGCTCCACAGTCTTGTTGCTGGCATTTAAGCAGAGTGTGAGGACTGGAGTCAGAAAAGAGGGAAAGTCCCATGGGACAGTGTCCACCGTTTTTGTCTGTTTGAATGCACAGCACTGTTAAGTCAGTTCAGAAGTTACTTCTAAAGAAGTCGAGGAGGAAGTGTCACTGCAGGTCGTTGCCCCATCTGTGCCCACGGCATCCTGCCTCCCCTGGCTCAGCCTGGGTACAGGTGGCAGGCCTGCTCGTGACCCCCAAGGCCAGCCCCCTCCTTGCCTCAGGCCTTGTCCAGACCCCTGGTTTGTCAGACCCCGTGCAGCCAGAGGCACGTCCCTCTGCTGTAGGCATTCACATCCTGCCGTTGTAACAGTGCCTCAGCAGCTTTGCAAAGATCCTTTATTCATCCTGAAAAGGAGGAGTCCCTGCCTGCCACTGCCAGCAGGTGAAGTTCTGGGACCTCTACAGAGAGATGTTACATTCACATGTTCTACACAGAAATAGGAACCTCAACTTTCTTATGAACTGAAAAACAGGCCAGCCTCTAGGAAAGGGCCTTTTCTTCTCTGTTTCACCAATCCTTTTTTTTTAAAGAAAAGTATTTTGTCTTTCTGGACTACAGAAACACTTACTATAGACAAGTCAAGCATTATAGAAAACACACAGGAAGTAAAACATTACCTAAGACCACCAGGGCAAGATCTCAATAAACATTTTTTGAAAATTCTCCCTGTACATGTTGTATGTGCACATGCAGCTTTTATAAAAGTACATATTATATGTCCTGCATTATAAACAACTTTCCACACTTTGTGTGTTATGGAGATTTTTTTTTCCATTTCATTGCATATAAATGTATTTATATAATTTTTTTAAAGTAGCTGAAATCTGTGTTATGTAAGCAACTTGTTTATAACTAGGCTTCCCTTTCCCACGTTGAAAGCTATCTAGAACTTTCCCTGGTGCTCGGTAAGCCCTTGGCATGTGAACGCTGTCGTCACTGTGACAGTTATGCTCCCTGCTGGGCGCCAGCACCCTGGTATCTGTTTTCAGGTCTGGTTTCAGTGATTGTGAGGTGCCCCCAGGTGTCTTTTCTATACTCTCCCGCCACCTGCTGTCCGGGCTGTTTCCCGGTCCCTCCTTGCTAGGCTTTCGTTTTGGATCTTCCTCTGTAGATGTCTTCTTTTCCAGATTTCCTACGAAATCTCCCTTGCTTTGGTTTTAATTCCTCCGCTGACATCTGTGGTGTGGTTTCTTCCGCTCAGGGTTCTCACGCCCCCTTCTCTCACTTTCAACAACCCCTGCTGTGTTGTTTGTGACAGGAGTGGCCCCCAGGCCATGAGGCTCTCAGTAGAGGGCCAGTGGGCTCTGGCAGACACGGAGCCCCTCATGGGGCTCCTGTGGGCTCCTCCCATGACCTCCACCCTGCCTGCAGAAACAGCCCCTGGGTTCCTGCGCCCTGGGCTCCCGTCTGCTCCTGCCAGTCCTGTTCTTGCTGGTCAGTCCTGCTGGGGCCCAGCTGTGCAGTGGTTGGTGTCTCATTCGCTGACCTCACACACATCCTGTGTCCATATGAGATGTGCCACGACTGCTGTCACCCTGTTCTGATCTGCCCCCCATGCAGCCAGCGGGCAGTGTCAGGTCAGGGGAGGTCCCAGCTTCCTTTCTTGACCCCACACCCACTTCAGAAATGCAGGTGCCCCCCCCCCCCCCCTTGCCTTCCATCCAGTACCTGATTATTTCTACAACTTTCTTGCTCTCGCAGCCTCACCTCCAACTCTTGGGGGCTGGAGCCCCAACTTGCCAGGTGGCTGAGGGTGCGGGAAGGGCCTGGGGTCTGTGACCTCACTGCTGAATGTACGTGTGGCCTTCTTTGCTTCTCCAACCTGTTTCCTTGGCTACCTGATGGTAATAATCCTGCACTGGCAAACCCCACACTCGCCGTGCCAATCAGATTGGGTTTGTTGCAAAGCTTGTACAAATGTGAGAACTGCCAGCTCTTAATTCCCTAAGGCACTGGCGCCTGCTGGAGTTAAGTCTTCAGTCAATATTTGATGACCAAGTTGAATATTTATAAAAACAGCCGGTAAGGAAGCACCAGTCCTCTCTCCTCGTTCATAATTACAAGTGGTTTGACTCTATTGACATGGTTTTTGTGTTCAGATCAAGCTGCAAAGTCATTAAAATCAAGTCGTTTTTATGGGAGGCTATTATGATTATTATTCTAATAGCAAGCTCCAGTTGAAATAGTTATTAACTTCGTGGCTTTTGGAAGCATGAGCTCAGTGCACAATTCTAATGTGGATTCACTGTGAGTTAAACAACCATCCTTTCAATGTGTTTTGACAGATTTAGGCCGCAGTTCTGAGGCAGATAAGATTTCAGATCTTATTGACTCTGTCTGGGCTGAAGAAATCTTGATGTGTGCTTTCTAGAGCTTCCCAGGTGCGGAGCAGAATGGGCACTCTGTTGACTGAGAAGGTGCGACTTTCACCAGATGCACCCAAAATTGAGACAGAGACCTCGGTGGGCTCTCAGTGGAGACTCTCTCTGATCCAGGGCCGCAGTCCACACACACCGCAGTCACTCGTGGACCCAGCAATCACACTCAGAGTTATTAGCAGGTTTCATTCTTGTCTGGAGCCCTCATGGAGAGGGGCAGCGAGGTGCTCTGCTGCTCTGGGGCTGCAGTTCTTGTGCCGGTGGGGGCCCCGCACTTGGTGCTCTGGGTGTCGTCTTGCCACCCTGGTTGCTGGGCAGGTGACCGTGCGTCCCGCCTGTGTGTATGCGGGCTCCCCCGCAGCCGGTCTGTAGGGCCTGGGGCCTTCTGGGCTCACGGAGGTGCATGGAGGTGCCGTCAGGCTGGCGTCCCAGGAGTGGCTCCTCCCACCTCTGACACTCCTCCTGCTCCCCTCTTGCCCTGCCCGGGCCTTCTTCAGAGCTGGCAGGGGGAGGGCTTTTCTCACCCTCAGTCACGTTTTGCATTTCCCCTCCGTTTCTGGTTTGCAGCGTTTCCCTGATGTAGTGATGCTACTGCTGATTGAGTACTTCATGCTGCTGCAGTCAATCAGTTGATACTTTGTTTAGAAGTCATGTTTTTCTAGTGTTGACGTTTATGGGAGGGCTGGCCTACAGGCTTCCCTTCCTGTGGAGCCCTCCTCTGGTTTTGAAATGAACACTGTGCTGTCCTCACAAAGCACTGTCACTGTCGCTGTCACTGTTACTATTACTATTCTCTGGAAATGTTTTGTGTGTTTGGCGTTTGTTTCTTTGTTAAAGGTTTCCCAGAAGTCAGGTGACTCCAGCTAGGTGTGTAGCTGGCTGTGGGATTGCTCGCTGATGTATCTGCATAGGGCTGATCACAGGGTCATCTTCCTGGTCGTTTAGAGTCCACAGGCAGGGTGTTAACACACGCCTTCACCGAGACTCTGTTTACATCTCCTCTGCCCGTCCCGTCCTGTCTAGTGCTGTTTGTCTGTCTTCACAGTGTCAGTGCTGGCTACTGTCTCTCTGTTGGATTTTCCTTTCCTCTTCCTTTCTTTTCTGTGCCTCTTATTGTTATTTCTTCTACTTTCATCAGGTTTAAGTTGTGTTTTTCCAGCTTCTTGCTTATATCATTGATTTTTAGCCTTTTTTCTTTCCTGACATATTTAAGATTATAAATTTGCCTTTAAGTAGAGTTTAGTGGCATCCCAGATGTTTTCAGTTGTTATAATTTCGCTAAGTTTAAAATAGTCAATTTTTCTTATTATGAAAGCTGTATCTGCTCAGTGTCTTACGGTTGGAAATCAGAACAGTACAGTGAAGGAAACAACCTACAATCACAGCACCCAGAGACCACAGCTGACCCCCAGCATCCAAACCTTCACTGTCTCAGTATTGTATTGTTTTCCTCTTAAGAAGTGCACACCCACAGTTATATTAAAAAGTATGATACACTCACATTTTACAGCATTTTTTGCCACATCCTCCTCCTCGGATCCCTGTTTTATAGTCAGAGTAGTAGGCTGAACGGCTCACCATCTTCACAGGCTGCATTCATGCTGTGCTGTAACTGCTTGGGGAGAGAAATGACTGGAGGATAACATCGGTGACTGGCTCGGCTGGACGGGCCTGGAGAGAATGCAGATGCTGGGGAGAAATGAGAGCAGGTCCATGGGTACTACTGTTGGTAGGCAGTGAGGATACCCCCAAATGACTGCACACTGGTCCCCAGACGGCTTTACTGTGACATGATGGAGCATCCTATAGGTGACTTTTTTCCAAATCAATAAGGGCAAGAATGGATCCTAATGAAGAGAAGTCTGATGTTTCCTTTTTTTAACTGAACCTGGAAAATTAAAAAATTTTCATAAGCTGCTGTCATTTTTCAAACATTAATATTTTACAAGACCAACTCAAGGGCCAGCCATTTGGAGGTGCTCATGAATCAGCTGTGGCCTGTCTGTTACACTAAGTAGGTCCCTAATGTCAGTTAATATCACCTTTCAAATGAAATGGGAAGGTGCTGTGCTTAGTCATCCACTGTGATTGGAGAGAGAGAAAATACAGCTTGTGTGGGACTACAAACTTGACTGTCATGTCATGACTTTATGAACAGTGATTTGGGCTTCACGCGAAGTTCCAGGCAGCAGCAGGTCTTCAGTTGTCACGTGCATCAAGAGAAAATCAAGGACCAGAGGTCAGGGAGGACTCTTTGCCTGTCTCTAGCAGCAGTGCCTGATGTGGTGACCGCTCCTGGCTGCAGGTCAGGGCCTCCATGTCACAGGGAGCGGCAGGGAGGCATGTGGGTGCCTAGATGGATGTGGAGCCCAGAACAAGGGCGGCCACAGCCTCGGGGACTGCAGGGGTGAGCCGTGGGCTCTGAGTCTGAGCCCCTCATCACGAGAACTGCAGCGCAAGGACCCCATGGTACCTTCCGTCTGACCTCAGTGGCAGATCAAGGCTCCAGAGTGGGGCTTTCAGGGAGAGGGCTTTCCGTTCCATGGGTGACACAGTGTCTCAGAAGTCTCACCGTGACCCGTGGTGGGCCCGGGGGTCAGCCGTAAGAGCCTCTGAGTGAGGGTGGCAGCACCGCTGCCGTTGGTCTGCTGGAGCAGAGTGGGTGTGTGCTGAGTGTGCGCGGGGCGCGCGCTGCCCCCAGGGTGCCACGATGGGACGGCCAGGGCGGCACTGGCCGGGTGATTCCTCCCAGGCCCCACGTCCTCTCGCAGGCCTTGCCGCCACGTGTCTGCTCCAGACCTTCCACTTCTCCAAGAGCCCAGATCGCCCCTTCATTCAGGTGTGCCCCACTGCTGGCTGGGATGGTTCAGTCATCACTTTTCTTCTCATCCCCACACACAAGTAACTCTTTAGAAGGTACTAAAGCACACTTAGAAAGCATAAGAATTCATGGTTTTTTCCCCAAAACTAGGAGTGAAATTTTACTCTGGATAAAATTGCAACAGCTCTTACATCCTTAAAATCACACCATATGTCATGATTGCAATAATGAATAAATACAGACATAGACACATACCTTTTTTGGAAGAACAAGTAGGTTGTTAATTTACTTTATGGTAAATCCCAGGATCCTTGATAGTGTACTTGGTTTGAATAAAATTAATAATCACTGAAGTAAATGTCTTAAGTTCCTTTTCTACTAAATTTATAAAATCCTAATGGAAAATTTATTTAGCCTAGTGAGTTTGTTATGTTCCCTTTACGGAAAATTGTTGTATTTGAATTTTTGTTTTTATAGATCAGGATCTTCACGATCTGCCAAAGAGAAGAAGAATTAGAAAGCATAAATCAAAGAAAAAATTTAAAAATCCCAATAACATCCATGTAGAACCAGCAGAATCAGAGAAACAGCAGAGTCTTCTGCAAGAAAAATTGCAGCCATGGCACACAGATGGCCCCACAATAAGCAAAAATAAAAAAAGGAAACTCAAAAAGAAACAGCAAATGCAAAGGAAGAAAGCAGCTGGTTCACTAACAGGAGCCTCTGGCATGCACTTCATGTACCAGCCTGAGGAGACCAGCAGTGAGCAGGAGGATGTGCCAGTGACTGATGGAGAGTGCACTGGGGGGGCCACGGGGGGCGGGGCTGCAGGCGCTGTGGAGGAGAGGATCCTGCCCCTTGAGGAGGGTGGAGTCCCGGACGCTGAGGAGGAAGAGGTGAAAAGTACCAATGAAAAGGCAGATGGCATCCTGAACTTTTTGAAGTCAACACAAGAAATTTATTTTTATGATGGTATGTTTTTTCCTGTTGTTCTGTTGAATAATGGCATCCACTCAATTGGAAAAAATGAGCAAATGTAAAATGTCTAAAAGTTTACAAAATACATTAAAATATTCAGTATTCAAAATAAGTTGTTAGTTTTGAGGCAAAAATGCAAATATTTAAATTCATCCCACCAAAGATCTGGGCTGACTCCCTGCCTGAGGCTTACCAGGGTTAACAGCCAGAGGTGTGGGTCTAGATGAGTGTGGTCTCCTCATCCTCATTTCTCTGAATATGTTGGTATTCTCAGCTGTATGTCTACAGAGAATATAAATCCATGTTGAACTGATGAACTTTTGGTCGTTTTCATCAGCTGGTAGAGTCGTGAAGGAAGCATACACAGTGATTTGCTCCCCAATGTGTGACTCAGTGATTTGAGATTTTCCTGTGTTCAGGATACTTGAGCACTATTTGTACTGATATAGGACATGAAATTTATTCTGGAGTTTGTTCTGATGGGTGCTGATTACTTACCTTTGTGTGGAGTCTGATAGCAGCCCTGAGGATCAGGAGCCAAGAGCAGAGTGCTGAGGTGCCTTCCACCTCCCCTGGTTCTGATCTGTCCCTGGTAGATTCTGGCAATGTGGTGGTTTAGTGCGTCCAGACTGTAGCACAAATGAGATGAGAAATGTTGACTATATAATAACTGGAGGGGTAAAGAATGGACTTAAACTGGGATGCAAAAATACTGTGCTTAATGGATCCATTTTAACCAAGAAGATTAACCCTTTCTCTCTTTGTTTGTTTACCCACACTTTGTATTGATAATAAGTTGAAAACATCCTTAGCAAATATCCACGTGACACTAATAGGAGGACTGTAGAACAGAAATAGGATTCAGAGAGATTTCAGTAGATGATCTCTCTGCCTGAGAGAGTGGCTTCTGGCAGACAACTCTCCTGCCAAGGAGCCTGATGTGTAAGGTGAACTTGGGGTTTCAGGAGCTGCTGAGGAGGCCAAGGGCAGGTACCAGAGGAGGCGCAGCACAGGCCAGGGTAGCCAGACGCCTGTTGTCCTCCTCTCTCCAGGTGCTTGCCCTCCACCCGTTGGGTGTTTGTGCTCTGCCCCTCAGGTGTTTGCCCGTCCAGACGGGCTCGAGTGAGGGTCCAGGGGAAGGGGCAGCGCAGCCCTGGGGAGCAGTCTAACTAGCAGAGCCCTGGGGCTGCCCAGGTCTGGGAAGGAAGGTGGAGGGCCCAGAATTGGCAGCTCTGACAAAGGAAGGTTGCAGATCAGAAGCAGAGCTGCACTGGTCCCCTTTGAAGCTGTGGCCCAGCCCTGAGCTGTGGGATGGGGGGAGGGCCGCCTCTGGCGTCTCAGGGACCGAGCAGACGGCTAAACTGACCCTCCCATGCAGCACGCTGGCCACGCGCTCAGGTGCAGCTGGACCTCTGCCGGCCATACATGCAACCCCTGGCTGTCGGCTCTGTCAATGGACCCTTCTCTATCTGCCAAGCAGAGGCAGGAGAATGCCGTGAGCCGAACTCCTGAGAGTTTTTTGTGTATTTGATGGAGTGTGTCAGGTACATCAAGAGACAGGGAGGCATGACCTAAACCATGAGGAACAGCTTAGTAGAAAGGGGCCACAGGGTAGAGACGCTGCTGTTACCAGACGGCAGATCTAAAATAGCTGTGACTGAGATGTCCAAGAAATGGGGAGAAGGTGGACAAGGATACAAATCAGAGACTTTCACCAGAAATGTTGAACCTATTAGGATAACCAAATGGAGCTTCTAGGCGTAGCAGCCACATAAGTCAGAAAGAGACTCGCCCGTGGGACTGGGCAGTGGGATGGGAAGAGATGGCAGCCGGGAGCTTTTCAGAGCTGGCAAAGGCCACAGAGTCACAGGCTCTGGACATTCTATGAGCTCCAACTGGGGCTAGTGCAGAAACGGCCTCAGCCTGACACAATGGGGAGGGCACTGTGGCTTGTGGGCAACAGGAGAGCCATGGTCACCTCCTGGGCTTCCCCGAAGCATAGCAGACACCAGCAGGTTTGTTCTCTGCAGTTCCTGATGCTGTCAGAGGGCTTGGTGTGGCGTCTGTTCCTTGTGCTCTGGGTGTGACTTCTAGGACATGGGACACCCAGCTGCTTTACGAGTCGGTGCCCTAACAGACACCACGTTTCCACTGTGCTTCAATAATTGTATTTTGTTGTTTACTTTTCAGAGTTCTGCACTGATTGTCCCTCATGGCAACTTTTTGTATCCCAAACACATCATTCTTAAGTAGAAATATAAGTTTGAGGCTTTCTTTAAGAGGTGAAAGCTTATCTTCAGATTACAAGAGTAAAAACGCAATTCTCAGTGACCCTGTCTTTGTTTAGATGTCTCCAAGGATTCCAATTCTGGTGTCTTTATGGAAAGTACCAACGAGCTATTTAAACAACTAGAAACTCACAGTGTGTCCCCCTCAGACGTATTCATTCTGGATCACATGAAAACGCTGCTACTTTTGCACGACACCAAGAGATTGAAGAGTGCCCTGGACCTGTTCCCGGAACACTGCAGGATGCCACCTGGTATGTGCTCTGTTCATTATGCCTTTGGTTCATTGTGCTGCTTTAGAAACTTGTCTCGGGTTCACCTCTGAAAAACTTTCTCCACCAAAACAGTCCTGTATTAGAAAACAGTCCTGTATCAGAAAATGTAAGGCTGCACATATGCTTGAGGAGTAGGTTCCCACTCAAGGAGGGTTATGCTCCTTGCATCTCTCTTGCTGTAAAAATATCTCCTGATATCTGCAGACATTCATGTGCAGTCTACTTTTCCAGACTTATGAGCTCCACTCTTAGGACTGAATTTTTACTGGTTTAAATGGAAGTGGAAGAGTTCATTTCTTTTCCCTTTTCTTTTTCCTCTGCTAGATGTGAAAACAAATGATTTACAGTCCAGCTGAGTTCCTCACACTGAAGGTGCTCCCTGCACATGGCTGAGATGTGTCAGGGGAACAGGGGCAGCGCTGGGGGCTTTAGTGAAAATCACTGGACAAGTTTTGCCTGGAAGCATTTATTTAACCAGTTGATGGAACTAAAATTTAGGTTTGAAGCACTTCTCTGAAAATAAATTCCTTTTTAGTGTGTCTGTGTAGGATATGCATTAGAAGTGTTTCCATGTCATGCTACTTTATAAAATCAAATCTTACAAATGGTGAAGCTTCATTTTCAAATATTGGTTCCATTTAATTCAGTCGGCTTTAGAATTCTGAAATTGTTTTCATTTTCATACAACTAACTTATGAAGCTTAGTCAGTAGCTACGGGTCTGCTGTCGATGGGATCAGCCTGGAAATAGTAACATTTCAATAGCAGACACCAGGCCCTTTCTCTCTCTGCTGCCTCAGCAGTTAGTTTTCCTAGTTTGTGGGTGTTTCATCAACTGGGTGTGGCAGCATATCCCACAGCCAGTGCACGTATTTCTACAGTTGGTCTGACATACCACATTCTGTCATCTGCATGTACATACAGTCACCATCTGTGGGGTTTGTATCGTGCTCTGCACACCATGAAGACCCTGCAGGCACCCCCGCCCTGAACCTCCTGAGTCCTCTGTGTCCATTTTAGGCATCATCATGCATGAGGCTGGGGGCCCAGGGGGCTGGCCTGGGGCAGGACAGACCATGCCTTTGGAGGCAGCTTGGCACACTTCTGTATGGAGCACGAGATGGACCCTGGCCTACAGTCCCAGCCTCTTCTCAGAAATGCATCTCAGCCTCAGCAGCAGTCAGCTGCCCCGTGGGCATCGAGGTCTAACTCTTGGGGTTGGAGCCTTGGACCTGGCATTCCCTGCCGTGAGCATCTTTACAAAGAGCAAGGCCTGAAACTAGGGGTCATGCCCTCAGCTCAGGCACTTTGCTGGGCCGTTCCTGGGACAGTTCCTGAAACCTGAGTGCCATTCATCACAGCTAATCTCACTTAGAGTTATGCTTCTAACTTCCTGCTGCTTTGTCCACCTTTGATGTAAACTTATGTTTCTCTTTCACTTCGTATGCAGTTTTTTCAAGCTCAGGTGTTAAGCATATAGTATTGTGTGTGATGCTGTAAAGTGAAATACAAACATTCCAGACTGACCTATACTTTTATGGGATTCACAAGTGTGCTAATTAGTGTCATTTCAGCTCCTAAGTTGTGCTTCATTTGATTAATTCAGGATTTACTTTTGGCCTAAGAACTAATAGTTGCAAAATAATAATTTATAATTTTTCTTTTTATTTTATTTTTTGTTCTGTTTTCCTTTTATTTTTCAGAATATGCCCGAGTAATCTTAGCTTTCTTTAATTACTGGATCACGCATATCCTTCCTGAGAAAAATGATGAATGAAATCAGTGCATCTACTTAAAAAGAGCTAATATTTGACAAGAAAATAGAAAAGACAGGTATGAAATGATCTGAGACTTACTTCCTATACACAGAGGAGATGAAATTCTCTTCTAAGTTTTCTTTATAACCCAGACCCTGGGAACTCTGAGGACATTTCTGCCATATTATTTATTTATATATTTGTACATAGTAGGTAAAGGTACTCTGAGACTTCAAGTGATAAATTGGGACAAAATTGAAAATTTCTTTCAAATTTTGTATGTCTTAAATTTTAAAATGGACATTCTGTTAAACTGAATAAACTGTATAGTTTGAAGCTATATGTATATATTTTTATAAAGTTTAAAATTACCTGTGTCTGAAAGTTTAAGAATGTTGTATGGGTATTAAAATGTTCATTTTAAGTAGTTTGATTCTACAGTAATTGAACTTATTTATTGTTTCCTTCTGTTTTTCTTCTTCTCTACTTTGGGAATAATATCAAGAACATGTTTTTCCTGTTTCCTCTTGTTGTGGAAGCCATCACCAGTTTTCAGTGAGATTGAGTTTTAAAAGCACCAGTCAATGCAGTGTTATAATTGTCTCTGCCTATAAAAATATACATTTTTTTATTGTGGTAAAATATATGTAACATAAATATGCCATCTTGAAGTGTATGATTCAGTAGCATTAAGTACATTCACAGCATCACGAGGTCATCATGACTATCCTCCCTTGTTTTAGGCTGAATGATGTTCCACACTGTTTATCTACCATCTGTCCTTGGACACTGGGTTGTTGCCCCTGTTTCCTCTTATGAATAATGCTGCTGTGAACATTACATACAAAATTGTGTGTGGACGTTTTCTTCACTTCTCTTGGGAGTGGAATAGCTGGGTCAGATGGTAATTCTACATTAACCTTTTGAGGAGCTTCCAGGCTGTGGTCCATAGCAGCTGTGCTATCTTCATCCCCACCAGCCAAACAGAAGTACTGAGTTCTCTGTGTCCCCACCAGTACTGGTTGTTTTTCACTTTTCTGATAACAGCCATCCTCGTGGTTGTGTAAAAAGGCATTGCATGGTAGTTTCAGTTTACATTCCATGTACTCATTAGCTGTTCTCTCCTTTGGAGACATACTTGAAGTTATTACCCATTTGTGAATTAGATTATTAGCTTCTTGTCATTGAATTATGAGTTCTTTATACTGGGTCATATGGAAACTCCACTTTCTTGACGAACCTCCATACAGTTTTCCATAGTGGCTATACCAGCTTACATTCCAGCCAGCAATGTAGGAGGGTTCCCTTTTTTCCATTCCCTCTCCAGTAGTTATTATTTGTAGACTTTTTAATCAGGGCCATTCTGAGCAGTGTAAGGTGGTACCTTATTGTAGTTTTGATTTGCATTGCTCTAATAATTAGTGATGTTGAACATCTTTTCATATGCCTGTTGGCCATTTATATGTCTTCTTTGGAGAAATGTCTACTTAGGTCTTCTGTCCATCTTTTGATTGGGTTGTTTGATATTGAGTTGTATGAGCTGTTTGTATAATATATTTTGGAAATTAAGCCCTTGTCAGTCGCGTCATTTGCCGATATCTTCTCCCAGTCCATAGGCTATCTTTTTGTTCTATTGATGGTTTCTTTGCAGTACAAAAGCTTGTAAGTTTGATTGGGTCCCATTTGTTTATTTTTTCTTTTATTTCTATTGCCTTGGGAGGCTGAATGGTACAAGTTATATCACAGAATGTTTGTCCATGGGATTTTATGGTGGCATGTATTACATTTTGAGTGTATTTTTGTATGAGGGTGTGTCCTTAACTTCATTGATTTACATGTGGTTATCCAGCCTTCCCAACACTGAAGAGACTGTCTTTTCTCCATTACATGTTCTTGCCTCCTTTGCTGAAGATTGACTGTAGGCATGTGGATTTTATTTCTGGGCTCTCTATTCTGTTCCATTGATCCATATATCTGTTTTGTTCTGGTACCATGCTGTTTTGACTACTCTGGCTTTGTAGTATTGTCTGAAATCCAGGAGGGTTATACCTCCTGCTCTGTTGTTTTTCCTCAGAATTGCTTTGGCAATTCTGGGTCTTTTATGGTTCCATATAAGATTTAGGATTATCTGTTCTAGTTCTGTGAAAAATATCAGGGGTAATTTGATAGTGATCACATTCAATCTGTAGATTGCTTCAGGTAGTATGGCCATTTTAGCAATATTAATTCTTCTAATCCAAGAATATGGGTTATCTTTCCATTTCTTTGAATCATCTTCAATTTCCTTTATTAATGTTTTATAGTTCTCAGCATATAAGTCTTTCACCTCCTTGGTCAGGTTTATTCCAAAGTGTTTTTTTAATAATTAAATTTTTTTTAATTGAAGGATAATTGCTTTACAGAATTTTGTTGTTTTCTGTCAAGTATTTTTTAATGCAATTTTAAAAGGAATTGTTTGCTTTACTTGCCCTTTCTGACATTTCATTGTGAGTCTAAAGAAATGCAACCAATTTCTATATGTTAATCTTGCATCCTGCTGTTTTGCTGAAATTATCAGTTTTAGTAGTTTCTGTGTGGAGTCTTTAGGGTTTTCTGTATATAGTGTCATGCCACCTGCATATAATGATAATTTTACCTCTTCCATTCCAGTTTGTATACTTTTCCTTTTTCTTGTCTGATTGCTATGGTGAGACCTTCAACACTCTGTTGAATAGAAGTGGTAAGAGTGGGCATCCTTGTCTTGTTCCAGATTTTAGTGACAGGGCTTTCAACTTTTCACCATTGAATGTTATGTTGGCTGTGAGTTTGTTATAAACAGCTTTTATTATATTGAGATATGGTCCCATAAATGGAATTGTTTTTATTTTCTCTTCAGATTGTTCATTGCCAGTATACAGAAATGCAGCTGATTTTTTTGAAATGCAGCTGATTTTTCATATTGATTTTGTATCCCACTAGTTTGTTGAATTCACATATTAGCTCTTAACAGTTGTGTGTGTGTGTGTGTAATCATTAGAGTTTTCTACATATAAGGTCATATCATCTCTGGTGAAGATAATCTTATTTCTTTCCTTCCACCATGGATGCACCATTCTCCAGGGCTCGTCTTCCCCCTCACCTCACCGTGTTCTTAAGAGGTGTCTGTCCCACTAAGTGGAACCTCCTGGAGGCAGGTGAATCAGCAAGGATGCCCTACTGGTTCTGGAGATCTGTCATCTTAAGACTTGTTTCTGTGAAGCTCCCCAGGCTTAATAAAAGCTGGTAAGTGGAGCCACAAACCAGGCCTGGACAAGGAGAGGCCCAGCCAGGAGAGGTGACCGGCCAGGTCAGGTCCACTGACCAGGATGGGTCACTAGCCAGGACAAGTCCACCGACAAGGACAAATCCACCAGCCAGGACAGGCCACCAACCAGGAGAGGTCCACCATCCAGGATGGGCCCCCAATGATGATGGGCCTACTGTACCCCAGGGGCTGCCTCCTTGAGAATGGATGCTGATCCATTTTCCCCATGAAGATGGAAAAAGAACACAGCCACCCCCCGAAGTAGGAGCTGTGGCAGCTTCCTGTCTACACCTATAATGGCCTTCACTTACCCCTCAATGGAGACATACTCAGCCGCCGCCACTGCCTTTTCCTCCTGCCCTGAGACGTCACATTGGTGAGGTCAGAGGCTGGGGAATCATGTCCCCTTCACCACACGGTTGTGGGGTCACTGGCAGGCAGGTGATGTCAGCCTGCTGCCTCCTCTCCGGAACATCCCACTGCCTTGGGCGAGACATCTGACTTTCTGATTCGCCAGGTTGTAATTCTTTCATTAAGATGCCTCCTAATTAACGACACATTTGCCAGTATAAAAATAAAGTATTGGCTGATTCATAATTTCCTGTTATTTCTCCACCTCTGATTTGCATCTTTTAGTTATACACAATTTACATCTTTTCCATGCCCAGCAGGTGGATACACTGTTGATGGATTCCAGGGAAAACTTCTTATTTGCAGATAGGACTTGACCTTTTACTTGATTCTTTCTGGTCTCAGCACAGAATCCCTGTAAACCCTTCTATCAGCTCACTGGGAGACCAGGACAGGTCACCAACCAGCACAAGTCTCTCTGACCACACCCTGAAGGTACAGAGGAACAAGGGTGTAACTGAACAGGTAGGGTAGTTGGGGTTAATCAGTTTTGTGGATCATCCTAATTTCAAAAGAAAAATGCCTCATCTAGAAAACAAAAACAAATAAATCATGTCTCTGTGTCAGCATAAATACAATAATCTGATTCTCTCAGCATGATTGCAGTTGGATGATAATTAGATCAACTTATCTTTTACAATCGTGCAGGATGCTTATTCAGTCGTGTCACTTGTTTTCTGTAAATCATACCAATTAATGCAGACAAAGGAAGCTCTCAAGAATATGAGGAGTGCTCATCAGCTTGCTGACAGTGAGGTGGATGTGCCAGGCAAACGCCCAGGCTTTCCTGAATCCTTAAGTCTCAGCAAGTGGAAGAGGTGGCTGAGTCTCACCACTGCCCCCAGACCCGGAGGCTCAGTGTTTTCAGAAGAAATTGTCCTGGGTTCATTCATCCCCACTTGGCCGGCTCTGGGTTTTCCTCTCTGTCCAGCACTGTCTGTGCCCAGTTTTTCTGTGGTACTTGTCTTCTCATTCAGAGAGTCTGGTGAAAACTTGGGTCCCCTCCAAAGTATGAAGGGTGCACAGAGCTAGCCAACCACACACAAAGACACTGCACAACTCAAGGGGTTGCAGGGTCCCCAAAACCCACTCCACATGATAGACTACCACAATTTTAGTGGCTAAAACAGCATCTTTTATTGCCTCCCAGTGACCATAGGTCAATCCCAGGCTTAGCCAGCTGTGTCCTGGGTTTGGGGCCTAGGGGCTGTGCACAGAATTGTGTTCCTGTGGCTATGGGACCAAGGTCCTAGTTTTCTTGTTGGTTGCCAACAGAGGCTACTATCACCTCCCTGAGGCCCCCATAAGCCCCAGCTCCCCCTGAGCCTCTGCCCACCTGCCAGCAATTCCTCGGAGGCCAGTAGGAGACCTGAGAAAGACCAGGGTCTGGAAGGCTTTCCCTGGTAGAGTCAAGCTGCCAGGATGGTCTCCCTTCTGCTTCATTTAAAACCAACTGGTACAGGCCTTCAAGTCCTTTGTCCTTGCATGCAGCCATTGGCAATGACCCTTCTGGTATCATCCTGGCCCATAGCACCTGGCATAGATCTTGCACTGGTCACTTAACAGACCACTTAAGGTGATCACTCAGGTCTTCATTCCAGAGGACCTGCTGTCAGTGTGGTTAGCTGCTGCCAGCCCTTCAGGTCCATGTCCTACATAGACCAGATGTCTTCAATCACCAGGGTAGACCAGATGCCCTTGGTCACCTTCACCTTCTAGGCCCCATGGATGTTCAGATGGAATCATTCAGCTCCTTTCATTTTGCAAGAGAGAATTCTCTGGTGACCAGAGAATTTAGGGGACTTGCTCAGTATCACACAGCAGTTTTAAAGATAGAAAGTAGAAAGTGAGATGAACAAGGTGTAGGTGAGAATGTATAGGTGATAGGTTATGAGAATTAGATGGAGAGAATTACCTTCATGAAAGAATCAAGAGAGAAAGAGGGCTTCATAAAGGTGATACCCGAGCTAAAAGAGATAGGATGAGGATGTCTGGAAATACAGGAGGAAGGCAGAAATGCTGGGAGATGACAGCAGGTGAAAGAAGGAGGTGCTTCACCTTCTCACGGCTCTTTTCTGTCTGCACCAACAAGGAGATATTTCAGTCAGCAGCTATGCTGTCAACTTGAAATGTTGACACATTTCTACTGGCAGTTATGCCCAAGAATATCTCCTCTTCAGATTTAGACACCACTACCCTTTCTAGGGCTTCCCTGGTAGCTCAGTGGTAAAAAGAATCTGCCGGCCAATGCAGGAGACTCGAGACATGAGTTCCTGATCCCTGGGTCGGGAAGATCCCCTGGAGAAGGAAATGGCAACCCATTCTAGTAGTCTTCCCTGGGAAATCCCATGGACAGAAGGGCCTGGTGGGCTACAGTCCATGGGATTGTAAAGAGTTGGACATGACTTAGCGACCAAACAATACCCTTGCTAGAAATGTCCTAAAATAATAAATGTTTTGTTAAGGGGATGGGGCATTCCAACATGATTGTAGACAGTAACTGACAGCAACTGCCAGGAATCTGCTATCAAGGCAGTGATCACAGAACCAACATCAAGTAAATACATCTGCAGAAATCGGAGGGCAGCCTCATCAACTCATCCTCACAGACTCCACAGTATAATCCATTTTCTTCTCTCCACAATATTCTCATTGCAGATTTAGGTGCTCATCCAGTTTTTTATTATATTCATAATGGAGAATGAAGAAAAGGGGAACTAACATTTATTGAGCACCTACTGTCTTCAAGGTATGTGATAAATCCCTTACATCTAATATCTTTCTGTTCTCACAATCTATCAAGGTTTTAACAGTTATTATCATCCCCACTTTGTGGATGAAGAAATATTTGCTTGACCTTAATTGACCATGAAAAACAGACTGGTTCAAAACTGGGAAAGGCGTAAGTCAAGGCTGTATATTGGTCACCCTGCTTATTGAACTTATTTGCAGAGTACATCATGTGAAATGCCAGGCTGGGTGAATCACAAGCTGGAATCAAGATTGCCAGGAGAAATATCAACAACTTCAGATATGTGTATGATACCACCCAATGGCAGAAAACCAAGAGGAACTAAAGAGCCTCTTGATGAGAGTGAAAGAAGGAGGAGGGTAAAAAGCTGGCTTAAACTCAACATTCAATAAACTAAGATTATGGCATCCCATCACATCATGGTAAATAAAAGGAAAAAGTGGAAGCAGTGACAGACTTTTATTTTCTTGAGCTCCAAAATCACTGCAGATGGTGACTACAACCATGAAATTAAAAGACGCTTGCTCCTTGGAAGGAAAGCTATGACAAACCTAGTGTATTCAAAAGCAGAGACATTACTTTGCTGACAAAGGCCTGTATAGTCAAGGCTATGGTTTTTCCAGTAGTCATGTATGGATGTGAGAGTTGGACTATAAAGAAAGCTGAGTGCTAAAGAATTGATGCTTTCAAACTGTGATGTTTGAGAAGACTCTTGAGAGTCCCTTGGACTGCAAGGAGATCCAACCAGTTCATCTTAAAGGAAATCATGAATGTTCTGAATGTTCATTGGAAGGACTGATGCTGAAGCTGAAGTTCCAATAGTTTAACCACCTGGTATTCTCATGTTTCTAGCCAACTTACTGGAAAAGACCCTGATGCTGAGAATGATCAAGGGCAAAAGGAGAAGGGGGTGACAGAGGATGAGATGGCTGGATGGCATCACCTAGTCAGTGGACATGAATTTGAGCAAACTCCGGGAGATAGTGGAGGATGACAGCCATGCTGATGGTTGGAAAGAATTTTATAGTAAAAGACTCAAAGGAAGATGGGCCTGTTAAAACTAACAGGAATTACATTTCCTTCTGCTTGATTCAATAAGTAAAAGATTGTACATTCAAGAGAAAGACACTGAAACCATATTAAAGGAGGTGCTGAGCTTGGTAAAAACGCTCCTTCTCCCAAAGAATATCAGTTTCTAAAGGTCCTTATAGTTATTCTCTCTGGGGGGGCCAAACTCCCAAGAGGAGCCTTATAACTTGGGGGACTCTGGACATCAGAGAAATTGGGTGGTCAGTCGGCATTAAAAGAGAGTGGGGAGACCAGCCCCCATGCCGGAAGGCCCTCCTGCAGTTTCCCCAGGTGCCACCTGGCCTGCAGGTGTTCCAGCAACAGGTATGCAGGTGAGAAAGCTGTTTACCCCATCTGAGCTCAGCACCACCTCTGTTTCACGTATGAACACAAGTCATTTATCACACAACTGCAGTATTCCCTGCAGGTTTCAGGATTGCCATGGTCTGTCATACACATGGGGCATGTAGCTTTTGTACCAAGAACTGTTCACCTTCTCAGCAGATCAGTCCCCATGGCAACTCATGTTGCTAAGTCACCATCAGGTCAGGAGGGAAGGATACCAGGAGAGCACAACTGAAGAAGGGAAGACAGTTGTGCCGGATGCTACAGACAGACAGACCGGCCAGTGCACGCAGATGGCCCATCCTGTGTGGGCTGAGCTCCCCGGTGCTGGCCCATTGGGGCAGCCTTGGGGATCCCACACCCTGTAGACCCTGAGGAAGAGCATCTGTGCTGCCTTTTAGGGGAAACATCTGCTTTTAGGCAGAAGATGTGTTTGTTTGGGTGGCAGTGTGTGGAGGGTCAGTGCCACATGGGGCAACTCAGGTTATACAGACCCTGACCCTTGGACCAGGTCCAGACCTAAAGGGTGGAGTCCAGGTTGCTTGTCAGGCCCATGTCTCCAGCACTGCAGCTGCCAATGAAATGCTGTGAGAAGCCCTCCTAAAACACCACGATCCCCTTTCCTGATTATCTGTCCCCTGAAGGCTGAGTGTAAACCCCAGGAGGCTATTGGTAAACACCCCACTTCACCTCCTGTTACCAGATGGGGGAGTTAAGCATCTCAGTCTGGCTAAAGAGAGCCTCAGCAAACTGTCAGTAGGAAAGGGGGTTTCCTGCCTGCCTGGATCATCAGTAGAACGTGGCTCACACGTGGTTACTCAGAGCGAGCAGAGTGGTGGCCGATGGGGATGAGGTGGCACAGCCGGAGTGCAGGGCTGGGGGCCAGCGGGCAGCCCTCAGGACACCTCATCAAGAGCCATGTATGCCTCCAGCCGCACGTTGTCAGGTGGAGGCTGACCCCTCCGTCCTGGAGGCTGGATTCCTCAACCTAGGCCTGCTGGCTGCCGAGGGCCTCTGCCTG